CCCACAAGGACCCTCACTAGTTTTGGACAATTCCCAGGTCAATGTACAATCGAGTTAGACTCTGAATTCCTTGGTTTAAATGACCTAATGGGTGAATATGATTGGCTGCTGGCCCACTAATAACTCGCCTGCTCCCGCATCCATCTGTAACTGTGAGCAAGGAGGTGCGGGACCACTTAGTATAATGTATGCAGGGCTCCCCTCCTAGTCCATAGTATGCAGGGTTCCATCCTGGAGAGGATGGGACTCGGAGAACAGTGAATGGGGTAGGTCTAGCTGCCACTAAACTAATAGTCTACAGATAGCAGTAACAAGAGTAGTACCATTTTACAGAAAATCAGTGAAGATTAGATTTTCTTGCCCAATTGGATATACAAAAATGCAATGCAAATAATTTCAAGATATCTTTGTGGAACCTTTCTAAATTCATATATCCACATATGGCTCTTAGGAAAATGTTGTTCGATGACCAAGAATGATGTAATTTTATAAACAATGTTTTCTATAAAATTTCATATCTGATTTCAGGATGAAATTTGTCACGTACCTTAGTCACAGACTTTATGATCTGAGAACAACTCTTAGTTTTAAAATGTATTAACTCCAACTCCTTTCAAGAAAATTCACGTGCTTTCCCAATGAGTACCTGGCATGTGGCAGGTGATCCATATATGTTTGTTGAATGAATAAATGTGAAGTTTTACCAGTCTTTCAAAAACCATACCACTCTGTTAGTGAAACAGACAAGAGCATTTTTCCTCCTGTTTTATTCAGGGGATAATTATGTATTAAATAATTCCTTGACTTTCCTGCCTGTGTTCTGCTGCCCAAAATGTGACAATTTTGCTCAACATTAGCACTGAATCAAATTATGAAACTCAAATCAGCCAACTTCCTTGGCAAAGGGTTGACAAAGGCAAATGGAGAGAATAGTGGAAAGACTGAGGTTAAGAATAGCTATTTTTGGACTGCCTGTAGATTTCGTCACGGCTTCAGCTCACTCGCCATTATTAGCATGGGTAATTAGTAGTTGGCTTGCTGGATTTCCTCTTATTCTCAGGTTCTATCATCTTTCAAGTGAACTTACTGAGGGCTAATCCTACCAAGTAGATTTCCAGCCTAGACCCCCGAGAACATTCCAGGGAAGGGCAAGTGGAAGAACAACAAAGTGGCATCTTTCTCCCTTTGACGTTTCCTACTCCGACAGCTCACCTTGGGACATGGCACCTGCTTGTCCACGGCTATAAGGTGATATAATTAGATGCCATAATGACAGAATCCAACATGTCAGCTTAGGTTAAAAAAATATGTCTCTAGTAGCTTTCATTTGTTATTTCGTTTTGTCTGGTTCCCTTTGATTCCTATTTTTTACATTTCTACATCTCAGTCTCTATATTGTTCATTTTTTATATTTTCCTCTGAAATTCTTGAGGTAGGGTGTTTATTCTTTTAGCAATCAGTGAAGCTATTTGGGAAGTGATTGGTTTTGCTATTTTACTTGCTGTGCCTCTCAAAGCACAACCCTCAAACGGAGGACCTGAAATGACATATGTGTTAGGGAGGAGCCTTTAGCTCTAGTCACCTGCTATACTTAATGTATTAGACATACTCCACAAAATTCTACCGAATTTTAGTCCTCAGTTAAAAAAAAATCCAATTAGTAAAACATACAAATAGGCTGCTATAGATTGAATGTTTGTGTCCCCCCAAAATACATCCAAGGTGATAGTATTTGGTGGTGGGGCCTTTGGGAGGTGCTTAGGTCATGAGAGCACAGCCCTCATGGAGGGGACCAGTGCCCTTATAAAGGAGGCTCCAGAGAACTCCCTCACCCCTTCCACCAGGTGACGGAGGACACAGCGAAAAGACAGTCATCTATGAACCAGGAAGCCAGCTCTCACCAGACATGGAATCTGCTGGCACCTTGATCTTGGACTTCCCAGTGAGAAATAAATTTTTGTTGTTTTTAAGCCACTCAGTCTATGATATTTTTCTCATAGCAGCCCTAAATGACAGCCTTCCGTCATTTCCAAGCTTAGACATGTTCCTCACACCAGCGGACATCCCCTGGCCCCTACGCCCACCCCCACTCAGCACAGGCAGCTTTTTTGTAGCTAGCTCTTATGTAGGATATTTTACTATTAGTGCTTTTCATACCTTCAGATTATCCTTTTGGCCACACCTGTTAATGCATTTGACTGTAAGATCTTGAATATTTATTTGTTATCGTATACCTGATATTGTATGATTCTCAAAATGGTACCATCTCCTTGTCACATATATACTCAATGCTGCATGACATTTAAAAAAAACAAGTCACTGAGAGTCTCATAAACACCAAGAGCCTTGGGTTATATCTTTGGGTGCATGGACAGATCCATTATTTCAACGCAGGCATCTGCTTATTCATTTTTATCACTGTCTGCCCAGGCTGAGCCAGAGAGCGGCAGCCATGCTTCTTGTTAGGCAGATGCCCCAGTGACAGCAATCTCTGTGAAAGCCGGTGAATGAGTGCATTTTCCCCTTTTATTGGAACCCTAAGTTATTCGACAGATTCCTAAGTGTTGGGGAACAAAGGGGTGTGGCCTTGCCTGAAGGGTGGAGAGCAGCCTAGGGCTCTTTTGGGGGTAGAGGTGACACTTCTTGGCTCTTTGCATTTCTCTCACATTGCTCGTTATTTTCCGGAACCTCCTTTCATAAGTCCCCCCAGCTCACGAAATTCTTCAACCCACAGAGAATCCATCTTAAAAATACGGCTATAGTTCATTCTTCCAAAAACCAAGCAGGCCCCCCTACATGGACCCACAGGTGCCAGCTGAGTTTCTGTGGAATCAGAAGCATCTGATGATACAAATTCCAGCCTCCTGATCTTTTTCTTCTTTTGCTCACTCTTGTATTTCTCCACATTATCTTTTTCGCTGCCAGTGCCTTAGATTTGCCCAAGGGGAGCTTGGCAGTTGGCACTCAAAACCAAAGAGCTGGATGTCTCTGACTTTTGAGTTGTAACTCCCCAGTGCTCTAAAATGTCTTTCTTTGAGATTTATTACAGGGAAAGGTTACTAAGACATCGTAATTCCCACTTAGAGTATGACTGTATTTTATCCTAATTTCAAATATTACCATGGTGTATTATCTATACATTTACATCTATGTATCTTAAAGGTTCACAACTCTTATGCAGTAGAGATTGAGTTTTAGATAAAAACTTATTCAAGAACTATTGTGTGTCTTTACCTACCGGGAATGGGAATACACAGTGGTGAATAAGACAGAAAGGTCCCTGGTCTCCGGCAGTGGGCATTCTAGGATCACGATGGTTCCATAATTCATTCACTTGTGAGTCAGAGAGAAAAACAGTGTTAGAAACTGGAAGGGAATATGCATTTGTCATGTGCTGTAGTATACCATAGACACAGAATTGAAAAAATTTTCATAACAAAATATTTCAGATCAATTACTTCCACTCAGGAAATACATGCTCATTATTTTCTTCAGACTAGAAATTACTTTATCCCTCTTTTCTTTGAAGTTCTATTAAATCTGTTATTATTCAGGGTCTCTATCCAATTTCTCATTAAAGTGCCCTATTTGTAGCTTCCAAATGTTAACACCTCTATGCCGAAACGGAGCCTACAAAATGCCTTAGGGGCTTCAACTGTGTGTGAGGCAGAAATGGTATTTAAGTTCTTAATGAAATTGTGAGCTTTCAAAGTGTATTCTGGGTTTATAGAGGTCTTCCTCCACTTCCCCTTCTTGGGGCAAGGGGTTGGGAGGGTGCGAAATACTCAATACACGTTTATTACATTTATTGTCTTCTCTTTTAAAATACGATTTTCATGAACTGGCGATTTGTGAATACAATGCTTGAAGGCATCTGTAAACTTTGTGCGTTTTTCTCCAACTCTCAAGCAGTTTCTTTCTACTGCTCTAATTCTCGCAAGCTAATATGCAGCTAAATAACGTCTCCCATTGCCTCAACGATCTTTCTCCAGAAAGTGAAACTGAAGAGAAAAAAGACAAGACAGAAGGAAAGAGGACGCAGGAGGAGAGAGGAAAAGGGAGGAGAGGAGAGAGGGGAAAAGGGAGCAATAAAATGAAGGAGCCCCGGAGCCCGGAGCATTGATTGCGGACGAGCAGACCCAGGGAAGGCACAGCGCAGAGCCGCCGGCGCCCACTGGTCCACGGAGCTGCCAATCGGGGCGTAATCCTGTAGGAATTTCTCCCAGGTTTAGCTGGGAGTCACACTGCCGCCTCCTCTCTCCGACACCCGGAGAAGCAAGCTCGGGAGGGAGAGTGGGAGGGAGCGAAAGGAGAAGAGGAGGACGAGGACAAGGAGGAGGACCCGGGGAGGGAGGCGGCAGCGCGAGAGGAGGAGGGGCGCAGCCGCTGAGCCACTAGCCTGGCTCCGACGCGCTTCTCTCCAGATACTCCGGGAGCTCCAGTCGCGCGGACTGCGCGCCCCCATTGCTCTGCCCCCAAACTTCAGCTGCAGCTACATTCCAAGCCATCTAATTTATTCCTCAAAACCAGAAACTGAGCCGCGACACGGGGAAGGAGTCCGCGGAGGAGTAAAACAACAGCAGAGCAAGAAGAGCTCCAGAGAGCAGCCTCCCTGGAGCGACAACTCAGCGTCAGGAGTGCAGAAACCAACAAGTGAGAAGGAGCCGCGGTCCCGGGGCGCAGCCGCGGGCAGTGGGAGCAAGCGAGCGCCCCCGAGCCCGGAGCTCGAGCCCCCGAGCCCGAGCCGCGGTCGCTGCAGCTGCTCTGCTTCGGATTCCTCTGCGCGGGCTGCGCCGGGCGCTGGGCTAGAGGCTTCGCTTCGTCCTGGTTGCAAGCGTCGGCTGGGAGCAGCCGGTCTCCGGGGAATATGCAGCGCGCTTGGATCCTGCTTACCTTGGGCTTGGTGGCCTGCGTGTCGGCGGAGTCGGTGAGTGAGCCAGGCGGGGGACACGCGCGTCGTTTAGGGTGCTCAAGGCCGAGCGGAGTCTGTAGCGCCCGCAAGGAATCGGGGAGCGCCACCTGGGGGATTCCACCTCCCCACCCGCAGACGCGGCGCTCGGTCCCCCGGGATCTGCTAGGATAAATGCACTCGCTCCACCACGCCATTCTCGCCTTCCTTTCCCGCAGAAAAGCGCCGCTCGCTCGAGTGGCCCCGAGGTCCCCGGGGATGAGGGTGCGAGAATCCCTGTTTTGTCTGACCGCAGAGGCCCCTGAAGTCACTCCCAACTTCTTCGCCCTCGGAGGGGTCTTGTTGCGTGGCCCAGGAAGACCGAGGGAAACGGTGGCCGGAGACAGGAGTCGGGGTAGGGCCTTCGAGGGAACGGGTCCCCTCTGCGCGCCCCCCGGGACGCAGGGACGACCTGAAAACTTTGGGGTCCCTCCGCACACCATCCCCCGACGCCAGCTTACCTATTCGATTGAATGCAAGTTCTGGGGAGATGGAGCCCAGATTTAAGAAACCCAAGAATATCCGGAGAGGAAAGTTTGGAAAAGTTCTTTTGTTTGATGTTCCCTGTGGTTGGGGCGAAGTAGCAGACACTACGTGGAAACGCTACCCGCGGAGGCGCAGTCTGCGGTCCCGCAGGGGGTGCTCGGAACGCGACCGAAAATGCTGGGGCGCTGGTTGCTGGAATCCCAGTGCTACGGTGACCCCCTCCTCTTGAAGGGCGGAGGGCGGCCGCGGGCCCTTAGGGGCAGGAGGACATTTTACTACGGATTGCTCTGGAGTGCGGCATGCAGGGTGAGGCGGCGTGCGTGTGACACTGCGCTCGGCTTCGGGTCGCCTGACCGCTCCGGGGCCGAGGCTTCCAGCCCCCACGCTCGCCCTTGCGGGCCCGGGCGGGAGTGCTTCCGAGGCCTGGAGGAGCCTCTTCTGCGGTCAGGGCCGGCTGCGGGCACCCAGCCTTCCTCCCCGGCCCCGGCTGTGGGAACTTGGTTTCTTCTCCTTTGACTTGCGTTTGGAGCTTGTTTCCCTGCATCGCCCAATGAGCGCCCTCTAAAGGGAACTGCCTCGTAGGCTTCCCCTTATCGGTGGCGGTCCCTACCTGGGCGCCCGGAGCTTTGTCCGGCTGGGTGGAAGCGCCGCACCGTTCGGTCCGCAGCCTCAGTGCAGTCTGGGGCCTCGGTTATGGAGGGCAGCAGTTTCTGTCCCTTCTCGTTCCCCGTATCTCCTCCTTTTGCCACCTAATAACTTGTCTATTTTTAAATAACTGAACCGTCTCCTCGAAGACGGATGATGCCATCTTTAAGGGTGGTTTTGTGAGTTTTTCCTTCTCGCCTTTGAAGTGTGGCTTCTTTTTTCTCCCGTTTTTTTGAGTTAATGCAGTTTAGGATTGGGAAACCTCTTTGGCCCTGAGCAGCAGATGGGCATTTTCATCAGTCTGGGAGCCTCTGTGTGTGCTGGCAGATCTTCACACTTTACCCAGGATTAGAGAGCACGGAGAATTGTAAACTGAACAGAACTGATGAATGTTTGGGTGCTCAGGCTGTAAAACAGAACTCCGAGTCTTGCTAACATTTCTCCTCGGCAAATGATCATTTAGTCTGTTGGGAGTGGTAATCTCCCACTCAGTTATGAACTTTGGCTTGTACAAAAAAACGGGGGGAGATTCTCTGTTTATTTCAGGAAAACATCATTGCTCATCTTGTTGCAAAACAGGGCAAAGGGAGAACTCCATCTCAAGGTTTTCAAGAGAAGCCTGCCTAAAGAGCTGCACAGGCTTAAGGAGTCCTGTTCAGGGATTTGCTAGGAAATGTTACTGTTTGGAGATGCTAGGGAAAGAATGTCTATCTTTCGCCTCTTTGGCTTTTTGCATAAATCTGGCAGTGGCCCTTAAGGAAGCTTTTTGTCTGAACTATACTCGTCCTCTATGGTGACACCTTTCCTCTGAACTCATTATCTTTGGGGTTTTGATATTTCTCATTTCCCACCAAAATGGGCTGCTTCCCGAGTGAGCTGCTTCACTGTGGTAGATACTGTTTTCACTAATTGGAATATCATCCAAAAGGGTGATTAGATATTTTTAAAATGTCAATTTGGAGACTCTAGCAGAGTCTTTGTTAGGCAATGAGTCAGTCTTTCTCAATAGAAGCTGTTTCAAAGCCCAGGATGGCTAATAGTCCATTTGAATTACTTTTCAGTCTCTGTTTCATGTATAGAAGCATAAATGTACGCAAAGTTGAAAGACTTAATTTTTCAACATTTAGCCATTATAGTTCATTATTCCCAGTACTTTGCATTTTAATTTGAAAACCGCAACTGTTTCCTGGGAGTTAGGAGTAGTAGTGATTGTCTGAGCTTAAAGCCTCTCTTTAAAAAGAAGAAAGGAAAAATGTCTGCAGTCAGTGAATTCTTGAGTTTTCTGCTAAGCTCAAGAGGAAAAAAAAAAGGTTCTCAGGAACTAAGGCTCAAAGCTGTCTGTGAAAAGGCCCTGGTGGCCCTTCCTTTATGGACGACAGAGAGCAGGGAAAGCCTGTTCATGGTGATGCAGTCATACTTTCCACCGGCAGGTTAGGGCTTTTCACTGCAGGAATAGCGTGCAAGGGGAAAGACTGACGGAGTGTGGCGGTAGTGACATGCTGCTGTTTTTCTATGCATTTTTTACATGATTGTTTATCTTTAGAAATAACATATTGCAGACTGCTATAAATGTATAATTTGAACTGGAAATATGTTTAAGAACAGGAAGTGTTTTGAACTAGTGGAATTTTATACACGTGCTTCGATGTGTGTAAATTAAAAGAAACTGTCAAGTCATTTGGACTCATCCATTTACTTCTCAGTCTATTATGAAAGGCTTTGGAAAGTTTGCATTAGAAGGAAAAATAAAATTGGAACCATATAACCTTTTGCAATTCTTTGAAGAATATATTTTGGCTCTTCTAGTAATGAAATGAATTATTTTTGCTAGGGAATTTTGTGGATGCAAGGGCTCTTTCTCTGTTAGTTGGATATTAGCCGTAGATAGATGTCGTTTAAGAAGGAAAGATTTTGTAAGAACAGGCTCGCAGAAGACGGGCGTGCTGGAAAGAATTTGCGTATGTTCTCTAACACCTACTTCTGGGACCTGGAACATCTACTTTTGGTGGTGGTCATCATTTGAAGGGCTGTGTAACATGATCACTCACATGGCACCTTGAGTAATCATCAGTTTGGAAAGGATTTCAAAAGATCTTCTAGTTTTTTCCTGGGCAGCACTAGTTCTCAAGTCTTCAGAAGCCTCCAGAGACCTGACTGGCCAGCTGCAGGTAGCCTGGAGTCTCCTCAGGTTGGCAAAGCCTTGAGGCTGACCCACCCTGGCCGGCTCTGTCATTAAGGTTTATAGGGAGTCTGGTCAAGTCACTGTGCTGTTGGCACATCACCCGGCAGTGATCCAATAGTTCGTGTGAGGAATATCGTCTGAGTTTAGACTCTCACGAGATTGTCTCTCCTTCATCGTCAGAAATCAGACTAAAAGATCTTGCCCATGTTTTCTTCTTCCCAAGGCAGAAGATTGTTATTCATGCCCCTGTTGATGGTACATTCCAGTATCTCAAAAATTGCCTAATTCTTTCATGGACCAGAAGCCAGAATAAAGTTTTAAAGAAAAACAAGAAGTAATGAAGAAGAGGCTTTGCTGAAAACAAGCTACTCTCATTTGCCTTTTTTAGTCAACTGCTAGTACCATCGTCTTGCTTCTGGTCTTTTGGATTTGAATCTTGAAGACGTCCTTGACTCATTCATCTTTGTTGACTTCCACTTGGCCTTCAGATCCTCCTCCGTGTTGTTCATTCCACAGATAATTTATTCAGCATGTACTAAGTGCTCAGGATAAATGGGTGAGAAACCAGGCCACTCCTCTGTCGTCTTGGAGTTCCCATTCTAGTGATCCAGATAGCTTTCCCCTTCAGTCTTTTCTTTCTTGGGCTCTTGCTAGCTTGTGCCTCCATGTCACCAACCTTGAGTTGCCCTACCTGGCCCAGATGTTCATCTGCTGTTTGATTTATCATGTACCACTTTGATCGTGTTGCCTATGGTCCAGAAACCTCCGTGTTTCCTTGTTATCATGGTGTGGAGTCTAAATATCTCTGCCAGATTTAGAAAATGCTCCACAGTCTTGCTCCTTCCTGCTTATCCACCCTTGCTCACTCTCCATCTCATCTCCTGGCCCTGGCGCACTGGTCTTGCTGTCATGAACGTTCCTGAGACATAGCTATCTCTTCAGTGTTTCTCCCTTTAAATTCTGTTGATTCAAATCCAAGATCGAGAGAGCTTTTCATGATTGATCCAGCCCTTGTTTTTATCTTTCTGTAAATAGTAAGCAGACTGATGATCAGAATCACTGGAAGTATGTAAAAATACAGATTTTGGGGCCTCCTCTCAGGACAATCTGTATTTTTATGAAGCATCTCAGATGGTTCTAATGAATTAGCCACTTTTAGGAACCACTGGCCTAGGTTGCACACTTTACCCCTTATTATGTGCTATTTTCTGTTAGTCCTGGGGCTCCCAGCAGTAAGATGTTAAGTGACCCTGGGGACAGTACAAAGGGCTTGGGCATGGGAGGTGGACAAGTCTGTTTCATATTCTGGTACTTAGCCACTCACTCAGTGTTAGGACTTGGACAGGATACTAAAACTCCGAGTCATTTAAAAAAATACATTCATGCGTATGCCTATAAATTGGACCTAAGACTGCCGTTATAACATGACTGTTGTGAGGGTAAAATGAGGGAGAATAGGAATGGTACTCAAGGCACAGAAAGTGACTCTTCCTTTCCTTTCTGGGCCTCGGTTTTCTTGGCTGTGACACAAGGGAGTCATCTCTCATGTTCTTAAGGCTCCTTAGCCCTCTGATATTCTAGACTTTGGCACTGTCTGAGGGAAGAGCCCTTGTTTCCACACCTTTGACTCCAGTGGTAAATACGTGTTGATGCTCTGTATTTAAGTGCAGGTGCCCGTGGCCTGGGCAGTTGGTGTTGGTCAGTTCTGCTGAAGCTCACCTTTGTTCTGGCCGCTGAAGGCAGTGTGGACTGGGGTCACTGAATCCACCAGCCCCAGGGTTGGACTTGAGCTAGTTTGCCAGTGTTGACTGTCTAGACCTCGGTTTCGGGAACATTGTAGTGTTGGTATGAAGAATAATCAAGATATTGAAGTCAAGTCCTGCACATCATCAGTGACCGTTCTGCTTCCTCCCGTTTCCTTCGGCTGGGTTGAGATCCCAGCAGTCAGGAGGAGAGAGTTACATAGGCATCGCGTGCTGGAGTGCCACCGGTCATCCAGAATGAGGTGGCAGGGTGAGGAGAGAGTGTTGGGGACCTGGGGGCAGAGAGAGGGAGTATTTTTAATTTTTAACGGTACAAATGCATGAAATTTCTCTTTTTACAATTAGAGCTTTGGGTCCTAGTACTATTAAAAATCCCTATTGTGTTTTGACAGGTCTGTTTCTAGGGCAGCGTTAGTGTTAGCAACTAAGCTAGAGGGGTGACTGTCTATGCATAGGAAAGGGTGCCGTTGAAATAGAATTGTGAATGTCAGTTTTTCGCAGGTAACTCAAAGAATTGGTAGGACTGGGAGAAGGGGAGAAGCCTTGAAGTCTTGGGAGATTTCTCACTTGAATTTCCCATCAGCAGAGTGAGGCCAAGTCGTGTGCAGTCGGTCATGAGAGAGCCACTTCATGGTCTTGGACTCCAAGCTATAGAGAAATGTTATTAAAGATGAGATGTGTTTTCACAGTTCTTTCCTCTGCTGTTAAATCCAGTT